ATGTTGGTTCCTGAGCAAGGCTCCTGGTGCTCTACTCTTTAGCCACTACACAGACCTGTGCTGTTGTGCAGTCACAATAAACTGATGGTCAGTTTGCTTCACTACTGACTTTGTGACAGTGAGTGGATCAATGGTAGGATGTTGGGAGTCCCTCCCAAACTGAGGGGTAACAATACAATGTCCATGAGTTTTTAGAGAGGGCCCTTTAAAAAAAAAAGAAAATATTTAGTTTTAGAAAGGCAGAGTTACACACACACACATGCATGCACAGATCTTCTATTTACTGATTCACTCCCCAGATGGCAGCAATGCTCAGAACTGGCCAGGCCAAAGTCAGGATCCAGGAGTTTCTTCAGGGTTTTCTGGATGGGTGGTAGAGGCCCAGGCACTTGGTTCATCTTGTGCTGCTTTCCCAGGCACATTAATAGGGAGAGATGGCTGGGAAGAAGAGCAGCCAGGACTTGAATCAGCACTCAACAGGATGTTGATGTCACAGGTGCTCAACAAAGCTGCCCCTCCCCAAAGAGGGCTTTTAAAGCTTTTGAAATCAGTCCAAACTTCTGAACAAATTTAGAAGGAAAATTTGTATTTGACATCACTATTGAAATACTCTTTTCTTGCTCTAGCTGAGGGGGGGGGGGGGGAAGAATAAACCTATAGGACGAGGTGGCTTTGGTGAAATAACCAATCATCTTCCCCATCCTTCTTTAGATCCTCACTCTCCTATGCCTGACTGTCATACAAGTCTACTTGATGCAGCCATATCTAGTCTCCTCCTGCTTCTGGGATATTTTCAAGTGATCCTTCTAAACACATGACTTAATTTGCCCCCCTCCTTAAAGCTTTGGGATGACTCCCAGAACTGCAGGCTAGAGCTGTGTTTGGTGTAAAGCATGCTGTGAAGGGAGTGAGGATACCTCTTTCCCTCGCACACCTGATATTTTTGCAGACTTTCAGTCTCATTTAACCTAACTCTTATTTGGGAAGTGGAGTGATAGACAGGAAGCGAAAGAGAGAGGGAGACAGAGAGAGAAAATTGTTTATCCCCCGATTCACTCCCTAAATGGTTTCAATTGCTGGGGTTGGGCCAGGCTGAAGCAAGGAACTCTATGGGTTTCCTGTATGGGTGGTAGGAAACTCACACACTTGGACCATCTCTCACTGCTTTCCTAGACACATTTGCCAGGACCTGGATAGGAAATAAAGCAGCCAAGACTCGAACTGGCATTTTGATATGGGATGCCAGTGTTAATAGGTGGTGGCTTAACCCCCTGAACCACAACACCAGTGCTGGAAGAAACAGACAAAAATGAAAAACCAAGGCATTTGCTTTTGTGCAAAAAGTTTTTTGAAATCCGTGTTAAGTGTTTTTCAACATACACCTTCTTCCTAAGCCTTATGAGGATCTCTGGAATGCGGAAACTTCAAAATTCATTTTTGCTAACAAAACCAACAACAATGATGATTTCCACTTTTCCATACTTGCTCCAAATACTGTCATAAATTTTCACGGACGTGAGCATTCTTGCAGGCCATCTGCAATGCCCTCCATCAGTGCTATGAGGATGACGGTCTGCTTTGTGTGCTGAGTAAACACAAAAGGCTGGCTAGACTGGTTCCAATTTGGGCAGAACTTTGAACCAAAATCACTCATCCTAACAGGATCCACTGGTTTCAGCTGGTTTTCTGCTTGTTTGTTTGGGGCCACATTTGACTACTGAACTAAGTAGATGCTAAGAGGTTGGATACGCAGGTCACAAAAACAAAGCGCTACATGGGAATTCCTTCCTAAGTTGGGCGAACTCTGTAGACAACAACAGATGAACACATGGCTCGGCACAAGCCGCTTTCCTATAAATATGTTTTATTGCAGAGAAGTTATCATTATGTACATGCGGCCACACGTTACAACGTAAATTTACCAAATATCTCATGGTGGGATGCTGTCGGTGTCAGGTAGTAGTTTCAGAAGAACCACAGGCTAAAGTGAACAGACTTACAGCTTTATGGGCTACAACTCTCAGTTGCTAAATGCTAGAAGTCAAAAGGCAGTGTTTTTATTTATTTTTTTTGTTTTGTTTTATGTTTTTCAGTCCTACCTGTCATCACTTGCATGCAGGAACCTAGGAGGCAAATACAAGAGAACTGTCGAGTTTTACATCCATACTGCCAGCACAGCTTACAGTGGGGTGAGTTGATACTTCGGGTCAGAAAGCATTAGATTTTTGCATAAAATAGCTCAATTAGGGTTGGTATGAACATACTTATTTCTAAACCCTGGCTGACAAACAAGGACAGGACACAGCCGGCACATGCACAGAGGAAGGACAACAGAGCATGTGTTTGTGACTTGACTCTCGTATTGACATGCGTTCCCTTGATTACAGGGCTGGGAAATGCCACCTCCCAAACTGTATGTTTCAACATGTCTCAGCAATCACAAATGGCCATGAAACTCTTGGAAGGACCCTAGGCACTCTCGTGGATGGATGCTGGTGGAGAGCAATCTAAGGACTGTAGACTGTCACCAAGGGGTCAGTCGAATCTTCTTTAAGCCACGTCTCTTGCAGGCTCATTATTAAGTGCAATGCAAAGAAAAAAAATCAGTGTTGCTTGACCTCTTAGTGTTCAACAAGCGAATCACGTGCAAGCAGACCTTAGGCTTGAAATGAGAAGGAGCTTGGGAGTCAAAAAAACTTCCAGCTAAACTCATAAAAATAGCTTCAAGAAGTATGTCAAGGTCACCAGATTGGCCTTGGTTGGGAAGGCAGAGATGCAGGAAGAGGAGAAAGGGAACATGCAAAAAATAATGACAATGATAATAATAATAATATTAATAAAACTTCTGTAGCTCTTCTACCCTACCCCAATGACCTGAGTACTGTATTAACAAGCAAATGGGCATGGGGGGATTTGTCTGCTGCTTTGCAACTCCCCAAAGCACTCACTCGCTGCCCAGTGAAATCCACTGGGAGAGGTTTTGATTTCGAACCCAGAGTATGCCATCCTGCCACTCGGAATGGCATTCTCTAAGAACAGCCCTGAGTCTACCTTCTGGCTCCCCTGCTCCATCTTTTGTCATCCCAGCACATCCTGCTTGCTGCTCAAGAAATAGGGGAAAAATGGGTTATTTAGACTGTAAACATCCTGGCCACATACAGCAGCTGCTGCCTCAGTAGTTAAAGTGAGAGCAAGGTGTGAACCGGCTCAATTTGGAAGTGCCTTAGCATCAAGGACAATGAGATCAGGCACTGGAAACTCGTTGCATGACTACACCACCAACTCTGTAGCTCGAGACTGGCAGGCTGAGGGCTTGGGATGGGGAGGTGGGTGGCAAGTGAGAGAGAGAAAGAGAGAGAGAGAGAATGAATTTGATTTGGGGATGGAACGGGGATTTGTTTTTCTTTTTCTTTTCTTTTTTTCTGCCATGCAAATCAAGCTTTGACTTTCCTTCATGAGCCTGGTGGCTCACAGTAACTTTAATGGCATGTTAATTTTTCCAGTGCTTGGGAAAATGAACAACTCATATCGCCTTTCAGGTTTCGATTGAACAACTCAGGTTTAAAAAAACAAAATCTCTTTGGGATCTGAGTCCAGCAAGTTGGATCTCTTGCTGAAGGCATGAATAAAAGTTTACGAGAATAAATAGCTTAAGGTAATTTAAAATATTGTATTTTCATATGCATACTAAAATATATATCCATACAATGATCTGGATGCTACCATAATTTTTTTTCTTTAAAAAAATAATCCCTTGAAAGTGCTATTGGGAACTATCATTCTGGTTTTGTTTGAAAAGGCAAGTTTCCAGGTTCTGAAGTAGTGCTGTAACTGTCGGCATCATACCATGACGTGACAGTTCCTAGAGTCCTCCCTTTCCGATGGGGATTAAGAACAGGCAGTATGTTTGTCTCAGTCTTAGCTTCTCCCTTAGGGAAATGTCACTAAGCATGAAATACTGAAAGACCGAAAAGGGACAATTCATTGGAATGAAGGCATTCTCTATCTTTGATTTGGGATAAACAATGGGTAAGCTGTCCTTCATGTACTAAAGGACCAGTTAATCTCCAGTGTTCATAAAGCTTCAGGGTCCCCAACAAGAAATGCAAAATGAGGAACTCATTATAAGACACAAAAACAAAAACGCCTGGATTAAGACAGACTGTGAAGAGAGCGAACAGAGTCAAATTCAACTCCACAACATAGAAACTACAGCCCAAACTAAAAGTTTTTCTCCTAATAGTTACAGCTTCCCAACCCAGAGGAAGCTTACAAAACTCCAGGAACCTACTCAAGTTGATAAGATAGCAGGTGTTCTGTTAAGTTGCAATAACCATTGAGTAGCTGCAGATTGCATAAGTGTGTTGTGTCACATCATATCAAAGTTATTTGCAAAAACTATACAATCTGGAATGCTGGAATAGGAGACACAACAATGTACTGAACATACATTTATAAGAAAATGAGAGCAATCATGAATATAAAAGGTATTTGGAGGGATGCATTAGGTTAGCAGTGCTATCAAGATTAAATAGGTATGATGAAGTTCTTCTCAGCTATGTAGCATGGCAGTCCTAGGCATCGGTACCGTCTTCTCCATTGCAGAGTCTCCGACACAGTCTGTGTCTCCTTGTGGGACTTGTTTAGCATCTTCAATGTCCCATCACTAGGAAACAGGTGCGCACGTTGAGGGCTATTGCTGTGAGGTGTGCTCACACGTGAAGACTGTTTGTGCTACTAGGGGGACCAGCAAGACTTCTCCATCAAGATGTTGCTACCTCTGTCCTCCACGCCTTCTTTTGCCATCGCCTTCACCCTCTCTCTGCTCTGACTGCTCTCTATGCCTTGACTGACAAATACATCCTGGGGATTTTTTAAATATATAATTCTCATATCTGCTGTCGCATATGGAATGCAGGGTTTCTTTATTGACTTTCTCTCCCTGGGGATGCCATAGTGGACTCATGCCCCAGGTCTCCTTCTTCTGAGGCCCTGCTGTCTTACTTGCGTTGAAGGCCAGAAGAGACAGGGAAAACCACACCTCGGTCCACACTGGTGCTGGGTCCGTCAGGGCTCTCAAACTCCCAAGGGCACACCTCAGCTCGCGAGGTTAAAGGTTGCCGGAAAGTGGTACTGGGGTTGAAGGAGCCAGGTGCATTTTCCTTGCAGGGAGATGTCTTTCTTTCCTGGGCTCCTGTTTGGTTGAGCTTTCCATTCTCTCCTTGGGCCCACGCTGCAGCTGCAGCAGGCTCATCTTGGCGCGGCCCTGGGAGAACTGGCATCTTCGTGGAAGTTAAACGCTTCTCCTCTTCGCACAGGGACTGAGCCTGGTTCTCCCAGGTACGTACTTCTGCCTGGTCTGTGCTCATGGCGTGTGACTCCTGTGCCCTGGGCAGCTGGTGGGATGGTTCCCTTGGGGGACAGGTTGGGTTGTTCTCCCTGTCCGAGGCTGCGATGGATACGTGTTTCTGAACTTTGGGTTCTGAAGGCACGGGGCCAGGGGCCAGGTCGTAGACTTCCCAAGGACACACCTCCCCGATGTCAAAATGGCCCTGCCCCTGGGTGGGGCCCGTGCTCATCTCAGTCTTGACGGTGGAGGGGTTGGCCCTTTGAGGCTTCATAATCCCAGCTTTCTGGGGCTTTCGTGACTCCTCCGAAGGATTGGGGTGCAGGGGGGCCGAGTCTCGAGCCTCTGGGTTCTCGGGGTTGGAGTCTTTTCTGTTGGCCTCTCCGGTTTTTGGCAAAGGTTTCTGGGACTTGGCACGCTCCTCGACGCCTGGCGTCTGGGTTTTCCCTGCTAGACCAAGGGTCTTCTCCTTGGCACTGGCGATGACGCTCAGAGACTTCTGCAGCATGGACGCCCGCGGGTGCCCTGGCTTCTTCTCGGAGCTGAGGTTGTGCGCGCTGGCCGACTTGCACACCAAGGGCACGGACTCCGTGGACTCAGCCTCGCTGTCTTCCTTTAGCTTCTGGCTCAGCTTCTTCCCCGGCAATGACTCCAGGGTGCAGTTCTCAGTAGCCTCCTCATCCTGACTTTCCGCGGGCAAGCTACTGGAGCCTTCTGTTTGCTCCCTCACGTGGTCATAAGTGCTGTGGGATTTTTTGAGTGAGAAGACACGGTTCTTGAGCGACTCCTCCTTGGGTTTCGCCATGTTACTGGAAGACTCTGGGGGGTTCTTCTTGCCAGGAGCCGAGCTCTTGACCGGGCCGTGGTCGGCGGCGTCTTTGTCCTCCTTGGAGCACTGTCTGCTGACCGTCTCTGGGATCTCAGTGATCCGCCGCATGATGGAGCGGCCCAGGCCCTTCTTGGAGCACCGCTTCTTCTGGAGGTGGGGATTATTCGTGATCATCTTCTTCCTCTTGTAAATTTCTAGCTGCGCATAGAGTTTTTTCAGCTCATCCTGTGGAGAGAAGAGAAAAAATGCCAAAGACGTTTCACATTCAGCCTTGCCGCCCAGACACCATCACTGCCTGGGTTTCTAAAAGCTTGGGCTCTTTAGGGCAATTGCTTTATTGTTTTCTCCACCCCCTAAACTCATTGATTGTTTCCTCATTTTTAATTTTTGGTTGTTTTATATTTTGTTTACACTTCATGGCACAAACACATGCAGTTCAGTCCTTTTTTCATGGTGCAAACACTGGTTAGTTTTAAGCAGCATGGACCAGCCACTTGAAAACCCCACACAGCAGGCATCAGCTACTATGCCATGTCTCTTTAGAGTGCTGGGGCCCCCACGTGGCTGTGGATAGAATGAGCCTGACATTAAACTGCCTGGAGGTTAACAGTTCACCCACTGTGAAAAATATCTTCTTCAGATGCTGCTGTGCCATTCAATTATTTTAAATGATTCAGGCTCTTGGCCACAAAGCCAGGCAACCTTTCTACCAGCAAGGTGTCCTCAGCACATCCTATGGATCATGTATGGCCAGTTCATCATTAGGACAGGTGATCTGTCAGTCAAAACTCCTCAGGTTGGCCCAGCTGCTGATGGAGTTCAAACATTCTGACGTGGAATTGATATGTTCTGGATGTGGATTCACTTTGCATTTGTTGTCACACACCATCACGCATCCTCTATAATGCACATGCACACACATCTGCAAAGGGTCTCCTCTGAAATTGGAAAGCTGCCCTGCTGGTCTTACCCGAATGTCCTCGGGATCCAGGCTGTGCTCACTCCAGGCTGAATTGATGCTACTGTTCAGGTAAGATCCAGACCGGCCCATGTCCAGTTCATCTTCATACGCCTCTGTGGCAATGTCATCCCGGGGATTATTGCTTGAGTGGGAGAACTGCAACAGACAGTCAAGATGAGCCGCAGAGCTTAGCTCACTATAAGGCAGCGCATGGGACATCTAAGGATTCTGATGTTGACACGTCTCTGCAGCTCAAAGGCTTTCATTCACTCACCTGTTTGCAGGATCTTTGTTTTGTTGGCCATGCTCCATTTTGAGGCTCCTAGTGAGTCACACCAACCCAGAGTTTCCCTGTTCAACTCCAGTTTTCACTACCACCCTTTTCTCTGAGCTCCCAGTCCCATGATGTGTTTGCATTTTGGAAATGAATGTATTAAAAAGAATACAAAGAAATGTTCTTTAAGAGAAGCAATGAGCACTGTAGGCCCCATAGCTGCTGAACAGGAACTTTTTTGAGTGGTACAGTCTTCCTTGTGTGTGTTACTACACACACACACACACATGCTTCACACACATGAGGGTCCAAATGCCCATGGGCACCATTAGCTCCAGAATGGGACTTTCTGTCTACTACACATGCTTCGGATCAAGCTACTTTCAAAACTTAGTGGACAGGAGATCTGAATTCCAGACCCCCAGTGTGTCATCACCGAGGTCTCAAACAAGAGAGGTGGTCTCTCCCCTCAGCCTGGGAGCCCGAGCTAACTGGTATGTGCATCTGAGTTGGAGGATTCAATCAAATGACAGATTCTCCCTCAAGCTCACTCTTCTCATGTTACTCGTTGCTAAGCTTTAAAAAAATCTATTCTCTTTTCATCTGGGTTTGGTGATTTTGGCTTCTCATTTTGCTGTGGGGATAGGGAAGAGTGCATTGGGAGAATGATGGAAAGCAGCAGGGAGAATCAAGCTGGCCACACACCACATGACCCAGGAGATTCTCCCCTAAATGCTGGGAAGGCAGCCAGGAGTACACGGAACCTCTGCTCCCAGCTTCTCTCCAGGACAAGAGTCCCATTAAAATAAATGAGCAGGTCTCTATGATGCACAGGGGCTTTGTGCCATTTCTGTGATGCTGCAAGTCTCCATTTGTTGTCATAACAAATCTGGGCTAACTGGAACCGACTGTGAAGCCCCAGAAACTATGAATCTTGCCTTCACACTTCTGCTTCTCTTTGTGGGACTAAGAGGTGCTGAGAACTCAGGGCTGCCAACCAGAAGGACAGCAGGTCCCAGCCCTCCCAAATCTCCCCACGCTGCCAGGACAGCCACCTGCAGGCCATGGATGGGAGTGGGATTATTTCAAAGGATCAAAGGCATGGAGACAACCTGGAGTTTAGTTGAAGACACAGAATCACTTGTTGGATTTTGCCCATTTTCATTATTATTTATAGCCCTTAAAATAGCATTTTAGATTTTTATCATCTTTGTTTGTCTATGTCCCTCTGTTCCCCTCCAGAGTATAGATACTGTTGATGGCACACTTTCATCCGTGCATCATTCTAAGGACTTAGAAAACTATCCTGCAAAATTCTACAATAATACCTTAAATCATCAACTTATTGATAAGTAATATGTATTTACTTTTTATATTAATTCCCTTTGGCAGTTACTGAGAAGTTACATATAATTCACTGATTTGTAAGTCCTCAATTTGGGAATGGCACAATGGCTTAACTGGCATCCTGAATGGGCACTGGTACATGTCCTGGCCGCTCCACTTTCAATACAGACCCTGCCACTGGCCTGAGAAAGCAGCAAACGATAGCTCAAATGTTTGGGACCCTGCACCCACTTGACAGATCCAGAAGAAGCTCTTTGCTCCTGGCTTCAGATCAGCTTAGCTCTGACCGTTGCAGCCATTTAAGGAGTAAACTAGCAGATGAAAGATCTTTCTCTCTGTTTCTCCTTCTCTCTGTAAAATCTTCCTTTCCGATGAATATAAATATTTTTTAAAGTTCTCAACTTAAATGTACAATCCAGTGCTTATTAGTAGATTCATAAGGTTGTGCATATATAACTACTATTTAATTTCACAATATTTTTATCACTGCAGAAAGAATCCCTGTACCTGTCAAGCAGTCACTTCTCTTTCTCTTTCTACCTGCCCCTTAGCAACCACTAATCTAATTTCTGCCTCTACAAACTTGCCTCTTGTGGTCATTTCATGAAAGGGAGGTGATATGGGCACAATGTTTGGTCTTTGTGTGTCCAGTTGTTTTTTTGTTCAATTGACAAAATGTTCTTAAGATTCATCTTAGTTGTAGCATTGCTCAGCACCTGGTTCATCTTCATTGACAACTGACATATGACTTGTGGATTGGACCACATTGCTTGGATCCTTTTGTCACCTGATGGGCACTGAAGTGGCTGCTACTTTCTAGCGGGGATGGACACAGCTGCTGTGAATGAACACTCACTTGCAAGCTCTGTAGGAATATATTGTTGCAGTTGTCTTTGGTGCCTGGTAATAAGTTTTGAAGTGAATGAACAGCTCTCTGAGCATACAGCTCTCTACTAACTATGCAATCATAGTATGCAGAGTATTAACACACACAGCAACAGACTCATCTACGCAAACTATGGCTAGGTTATGTCATTCAAGTAGGAGATAAAATACATAATTTTTTTTTCCTGTTCCACTGGGTCTTTGTAAATGGGCTGAACCTTGATGTTTTTGGCTAATTGTGAAAGCTGAGGTAAAGAAAAGAAATCCCCCAAAGAGGAGAATGATGATAAGCTGTAATTTGTAAAATATGCTTTTCCAAAGACTCCTGTCTCCTTTAGTTTGATATTGATAGATGTTAATATCAAGTTGCTTCCGTTTCAGAGGAAGCTGACATTCAGTGAGATCAACATTCCTGGTGTGGTGCTCAATGTCAAAATCATTGTCCTGGCCCATTTTCTCCCACTTCATCATGCTACCTGCTTAGATAGAGTCTCCCTTTGAAGCAATCGCAGTGAGAGTCTTCCATACTTAATTATTAGAGCTGATATGTTCTCTGAATGCTGGAAGGGCAACATTTCTCTGCATATGGATCCAATTAGGAGACTTCTTATGACAGTCCTTTTAAAACAAGGACTTTGAGAGGCAGACAGCCATGATGCCCATTCCTGGCTCTCTGGCTCCTGACAGCAGCCTCCCTGCCTGAGAGGCAGCACTGAGGGCTCAAGTGACTGGGTCCCTGCCAGGCACTCAAATTCACATCAAGTTCCCAGATCCCAGCTTCTGGGAACTGAGGAGTAAACCAGTGCTGGGGACACTCCTCTCTGCCTCTATCTCGCTCACAAAATAAATAAATAAATACATGAATAAATAACTAAATAAATGATCTTAATATTATAATTTAAGGAATATCATCTTGAGTTCAGAATAACTAGAATATGGACTAAAGCAGTTTGATTTTCATACAAATTAAGACAGTTGAAATTATCTCAGATAATCAATGACTCTCAAAAGAACACAGCCACCCAGTAACTCCATGAGGCAAATGACTTCTTGGGGATGTCAAACAGATGTGTGGATTTCTGTATCTCCCTAGGTCCATATTGTATGATCGCTTTTAAGAGGCAAAAGCACTCTGCTTCCAAGAGAAAAAGTGCATCTGAGTAGTACCTTTGGGATCAACAGCACCCCGACAGTGACCGTGACAGTCAGGTGGGTGTGTGCAAAGTACAGCATCAGCATCCAGTCAGACTGAAGCCTCGAGGCCAGGACAAACCTGAAACGAGAGTTCATACAGCATAAGCCGTGCACCACGCCCGCAGATGCTGGCTCCCTGCAAACTTTGTCCCTCACTGGACAGACCACCAAGAACGTGAAGGAAGACGCTGGGTGGCAATGTTGTCAGTAAATCTCATCATCCTGGAAAAATACTGGTCAAAGTCACGTTCATTGGTTGCCTTGGACATGAATTCCTCATTATTATTTTAGATGGTCAGAAAGAAAGACACCATTAGGAGCTCCCCAGGGTGTTCTTTTCTTTTTTTAATTTATTGTTAGTAACATTGTATTATGTGAGACAGTTTTATAGGCACTGGGATTCCTCCCACCCCTTCATCCATGGTGGATTGCTCCACCTTTCTTGTGCAGGTGCATTGGTACTGCAAAGCCACATAGTGAATACACACCAATTCAGAGTGCAGATTACAAACTGGGACCCTGCAACCACACTGGAAACCTGGAAGAAGCTGCTAGCTTCAGATCAGCTCAGCTATGGCTGCTGTGGCCATTTGGGGAGTGAACCAGTAATGGAAGATCTTTCTGACTCTCCTATCTGGAAATCTGCCTTGCAAACTAATTTTTAAAAATTAAAAATCAAGTGTTCAAAGTTATCAAATTACTGTGGATAGTTATAGATGTAATTACTTTAAAACTTAGCCCTGCACAGAATTTATAAGGTTGGATTCTGGGATGTCCTTGCAGGAAATGTGGTAAGAAGTAATTTGGTGCTAAAGACTGTTGAAGTAATGCTGGAGTATTTTTCAGAACTTACCCTAACACAGGAGCCAGGGCTACTTTTATCACACTCCAGTTTCAATATTTCTCCCATCCATTCTTTATCCACAAAAAGAAAATGTGAGATTTTATTGCTTTTGGGATTAATGAATGAGAATTCCATTTCAATGAAACTTGAGAACCTGATATTCTAAGAAAATGTTCATGATACCATTGAGTCACACAACAGAGCTAAGTGAATGGCTCAACAGGGAAGGAGCCAACACTCACATGCACATTAATCCATAATTATGACACACTTAACAAGTAAATTTATGGTATGAATGCTGGCATAGGGTCCTTCTCATGCCCTTGTGGTATAGTCAGCTTTATACATATCTTTTCTGCACATGACTGGATAGATATGCACTCTATTCCATGAGGTATATTTGACACAGATTTCCCAGGCCAGATATCTATCTATATCTAAATCTATATCTATATCTAAATCTATATCTACATCTATATCTATGTCATCTTTAAAGTGGTCTACCATAGCCATCACACTGGGCGGCATACTTCAACCACTGAGGCACATATGCAATCCCAGCTGGTTAAGGGTCATTGCCAAGGAGGGAGAAGTTTACATCCAAGGTGATGAATGTATCATCTAAAAGCACACTCAAGTCCTGGGCATCCCTACCTCATTTTGCAATACAAGAGAACATTAAGCTGGCATGACAATATATAAAAGAAGAATGGCTGCATATATTTTAAATTAAAGAAGCACATTTTCCAGGAAATAAAGACTTTGAAGTATACTCACATCAAACACCCTCTAATTAATCTGTTTTAAAATATTGTCGGATTTTCTAGGTGGCATTTCTGGCTAGAAACTATTTGGACAAGAAAAATAGGTTTGCTGCAGTTTTAAAGCCTTATTTTTCTAGAAAGGTATTTAAGTGTGGTAAAAATAGAATGTGTTAAAAGTCAGGAGCATAGAAATATTTAAAAATTGAAGTTAAAAATATAACAAATTTCAAAGTCTTGCACCTTCCCAAAGGTTTGCTTTTTGTTTATCACTAAAAATAAGTAGCTAGAACAGATTGGAGAAAATGCCTTTGGCATTTAGTTATGCTTCTAGACTTAAAGCTTTGATTGTTTTGTGCATTTTGACAATTTGTTAAGATTGAAATGTAAAGCCATATATAAAATGTGTTCATAGGTTTATATATACATATATACGTATATATGCGCATACAGCCATACAAATTTTATGTTTTAAGCAGACAACAGTACCCTTGCCATACTGATAAAGAATATTTTACCTGATTTTTTGAAACCTCATTTAATATTATTTATTGAGGAAAAAATAACCAAAATGAATCATACTCATTTTAATTATTATATAACCACTACTTCTTCTTGAACTTTAAAAAGTATCAGAACCACAGAGAAGATGAATTTGATTCGTTTATAATTAAGTCATGGTGAATACCTTATTGTTTAAATTTTTATGATGTTCCCCTTGCTTCCTCAAAATCACTGTTGTTCAGATTCACTGAGTAAAGCTATCATTTCCTTCCTTGGTCCTTATAGAAATATCTTAAATTTCCAGGAGGAATTGGCTAATGCGCTCTGATTCTTCTAAGTCAGGGTACCATCATCGATCTGATCTGATCTGGTCCAGGTAGAAAGATGGGTCCGATTTGAAACCTCATACATGGGAGTTGTTCTTGTTCGGCCCCACTGAGGTTTGCCTATGGAAACGTCATGGCCCACCAATGACAGTTGCTCTTTCTGCATCACCTTGCTACTGTCAAATACTCCCTTTGGTCAAAATCCATAGGCGTTCACACAGTTGTCTGCAAAGAAGCTGACCTTGTAAGTATGTTGGTTCTACTGAACACCCAGCCTGCTTGGCTCACCATGAATTGTTCCGTCAGAACGCGTGAGCACACCAAACTAGCTCCTGCTTGCTGATGCTGCTGGCCGGGGTTGAGTACTTGTCTGGTGCTCCATAGGACAGACTTAAAGCCAAGTAGGAAAGCTACCATCTTGGCCCATAAATACCAATGCATTTAGCAAGTATCAGGGACGTTCAATGGCCAGGTATGTTTGAAAAGCACATTGACAAAGCTAAGCTTCTTTACAGCACGACTGTTCAGTATCTCAGCCTGCATTGTGATATGGCAGGTGGAGGCCATACAAAGAAATGTATCACAAACACATATGAAAATACCTTAAAAAGATACTCTAATAGGATAATAGTGCTTGTCTTTGGGAGGGTGTCAAATTATAGAGTTTGTTTACTTTTTAAAAATATTACTTTATGATTTTTTCTGGAGTCAACACCTATTGCTTTCTTACTAAGTTAAAAGAAATTCATTGAACAAAATAATTTACCTTGTCTACTTCTAAAAGACCCTGGAGGAACTTTAGGGTTTAAAATCAATTGACAGAAAAAGTTTAAAGAAGAAAATTGGAACAGAGTAAATCTTGAGGTAGGAAAGGAAATTTAGGCAACTGCTATAAAATAGGATTAATTGTGTGAATAACTCATTTGCTTCTAAGAAGGGTAGCAGCTTCTCAGAGGGGAAAAGCAGGGAATTGGTACCACAGAGGGTTGCATTCAGACACCAGAGGATGTGTAAGGTCTTCTGTGGCAAGCCTTTGCACAGGTGTGCAATTCTCTAGTTGGGCTGTTGCTGGGACTGGTTGCAAATAAGTGTGCTTGTTAGATCTTGGAGCATATGTACATACTGTTCCAGAAATCAATAGAAAAGTCACTTCTTTCGGAAAATGATATGGGAGGTGGCCAGGGCCCAGGAACTCTGGTCTGGGAATGCTGAGGAAGCACTCCTTGCCTTCCTCAGTTACAATCTCTTGCTTTCATTCCGTCTCTTGACTCTTCTAATATCCTTCTCTCTTTCTTTACAGTCAGTCCCCTGACATCCTGGTTCATTTGCAGGGCTTCTAGGCTTCTCAGAACACCAATACCAGGCCAGGAGCAGTGGCCTAGTGGCTAAAGTCCTCGCCTTGAACGTGCCAGGATCCCATATGGGTGCCGGTTCTAATCCCAGCAGCAGCCCCGCTTCCCATCCAACTCTCTGCCTGGGAAAGCAGTTGAGAATGGCCCAAAGCCTTGGGACCCTGCACCCACGTGGGAGACCTGGAGGATATTCCTGGCTCCTGGGTTCAGATCGGCACAGCACTGGCCATTGTGGTCACTTGGAGAGTGAATCATTGGATAGAAGATCTTCCTCTCTCTCTCTCCTTCTCTCTGTATATCTGACTTTGCAATAAAAATAAATAAATCTAAAAAAATAAAACACACCAATACCTCAATTTCCTATACTTCAGCAAGTGTGGGCTGTGCCCAAGAGAAAATGCAAGGAAGTGTCTTGTGACTGTTGACTGGAGAGGTGGCAGGCAGCCTGCAAAACTTCCTTCCACAGCTCCCATGGGGACTGCCATTCTTGTTGGTCCTTAAGGAAGTCCAAGCCCCCACAAAAGGTCTGAACCCCAGGCAAAAGGCCCTCTCCAGTGAGGACAGACAGCCAGCCTACTCTTCAGTGTGCTAATGTCCAGCACCTGGCCAGCCACTAGCCAAGGTTCCTTTCGCTAGCTCTACCCTGAGGTTCTCTTCGCATTTTCAAGTACAGAAGCAGGCAGGGTAGGGGGATAATTCTTGGAAGACATGGCTGTTTCACTTTGTTCATTTCCCCATAAACCATTCTGTTCCTTCTGCTCTGGACTCACCCATTCTGCCATGGCATGGGATCTTACAGAAGCAGGCTACACATTCTGACCTTGGAAATGGATTACTAAAATATGGTCATGAGAAAACCACAAGGCACACCATCACTCAGGCAGGGATTTTTGTTTTGTTCAGAATTCAGCAGGATCCATGCTCTGAAGTTGTCTATTTGAATATGAAGATGGTGAAAGTGGAAGCCAGCATGTTGAACATGAATGGAAATATAAATGAGCCATCTATAGCTGTTTTTAAGATTTCTACATGTACTGCTTTATACCTTCATCACAAACGTTTTTGTGTATTAGGAACAATATGCAATGACATTCTCTGAAGTGGCTTGGTGTATAATACAGTAACATTGAGGTGACTTTTTCTAAATCAACAGAGGTGATATGTGCCACATCAGGAAGAACTAAGAATAACACAGTGAAATACCACCATTTGCCATTTCTACAACAATTAGTTAAGTTCTGAAACACCCTCCTTGTAAGTCTTCCCATCATTAATTGAATCCAATTTATTTAAATCAAACTACAACACTTCAGAAAACAAAATGGGGCGCCCCCCTGGCTCTCAGTGTCACTTGCCTGATGGTGTGGAATATTGCAGAGATGATGAGCTCATTGTGGACGGCGACGGCCATGTAGCGCGGCTCCCGGAATGCCGAGGGCACGGTCCGTGCCGCGTAGCAGAGGTAAACGCCCCACAGGAGAAAAGAAAACTCAGCTGTGGGAAGAGCAAACAAACAGCTCCCATTAGGTTTATAGGTGAATGCAAAAGAGAGAAGGTAAAATCTTGAGCATGCAGTTTATGTTGAATACAGAAACCTAAGCGGAGTTGGACATGGACACTTGCAAAGTGTGATCCTTGCATACACCTAGATGTTACGTGTGCATTTGAAATTTCATTCAGTGTGGAGAAGACTCTTAAAACGCATGGCTTTGTTTTTATTGGTTTTCACATCATTTGGCACCTCAGATTAATTATTTTCCGTTTTGGCTAATACCTGCTATTTTTTCATTAAATGCTTGTAAAAGAACTTCCCATTTTCAGGGCCCGGCGCGGTGGCGCAAGTGGTTAAGGTCCTCGCCTTGCACGCCCGGGATCCCATGTGGGCGCTGGTTCTATCCCGGCAGCCCCACTTCCCATCCGGCTCCCTGCTGTGGCCCGGGAGAGCAGTCGAGGACGGCCCAAAGCTTTGGGAACCTGCACCCGTGTGGGAGACCCAGGAGAGGCTACTGGCTCCAGATCGGCATAGCATCGGCCCGTTGCGCTCACTTGGGGAGTGAATCATCGGATGGAAGATCTTCCTCTCTGTCTCTCCTCTCTGTATATCTGCCTTTCCAATAAAAAAATAATAAAAATAAATCTTTAAAAAACAAAAAGAACTTCCCATTTTCTTCACCTTGAGTTTAAGATGTATGTGGAGACTGGGTTGTGAACAAAGTTACCCAGGCAATGAAGGCTTAGGATCTATTGATAAACCACATTTGGAAATGTGAGAACATAGGTAGCCAGACATGGTATGTATCCTAAATGAAAGGTTGGTTCTTCAGCTATGGGATAAATAGTGTCTTTTATTGCTGGAATGCTGACAGTGTTGGTAAGCATCACTCTGACAGTCAGCAGACAGCACTGCAGCTAAGAGGAGGAAGGAATTCGGCTCACACCAGACCTGTCTCTGAACTGGGCTCTGTCCCCAAATCCCTTAGCACCATCTCCAGCAAGTACTCATCCCCTCTGGCCACACTGTCCTCATCTGGAAAATGAGGCCCCAAAGTACATATTTCATGGAATTATTTGCTCATTAAGCCAAACGACACGTTATGACACACTTAACATAAGTTTCCAACCCGTAGCCATGGTTAGATAAACAGTACTTATTGAACTTCTTACTTGACATTGTGTCAAAGTCAGTGTCAATAGCATTGCTTTTTTAGCTCATTTTTACCAATAGTCCTTACATTCCCTTCTATCTACCTCAATGGCATGACCTTCTTGGAACAATAAGAAGCAGGCTCTAATTTGAGGCTAAACTTTTATTCCTTAATGTAAGCTTGCAGCCTAAAGCACCCTTTGACTTCTCCATTTAAAACACCAAAACCAAGGCTCCTGCTGAAGCTTCAGAGCCTTTCTATTATCATTTACACAATGGGTAGCATCCCAGTGGTTGGAAGAAACTTAAATAGAACAGTCTGTCAGGATTTACTCTAAAACCCTGATGTGGCCAGAGGCCAAAGGAAACAAAACCATAACAAACAGCCTCCCAATCCCCCAGCAGATTCCACAGAAGTCTGAATTACTCAGAACTATTCTTTATTTCTGTCCAAGGTACTGCCACTGTTGCCTTTCTTATTTAGGTTTGAAATCTCAGAGTCACTTTTCATTCCTACAATTTTATACCATTTTTCTTACTTCTTATATTGATTTGTTCTTCTCAGTGTCACCAGTCACAATTGCTGCCCATGCCTCCCTCAGGTCACTTCTTATTTATTGCAATTATTATTTTTTTTCCTAGGGTCTATCTCACCGTAGCTATACCCTGTGGTGATCTCCATACTTCATCAGTGTCAGGCTCATTTTTTCCCCCTGAAATTCCACTTGGTCTTGTCACGATTCGGGCTGACTTATTCACGTTTTCCCTTAGAAGATTTCCTCGTACCCACGTAGTCAGAGCCTGGAAATAACTCCTACCCCTGAAGGAAGCTTGCAAGGAGGTTGCTGCGAGGGCAGACAAGTACTTCCATCCAAGCATTCTGGCTGGAAGGTTTCCTGTGAGCTGCTCACATCACACAACTCTGTTCTTCTTGCTCATAGATTTCTCTGGCCTTGACCTCTACCCTGGCATCTAACCCTTAGTCAGCAGTTTGGTAGGCATTATCTGCAGCTTCCTTCAGGAATCTTCAGCTGCTCACTATTATTTTACTCACATTTCATTCCGGCATCTGTGGCCTCTACATTGTGACTCCACATTGTTAATCTAACCCCGTCTTCCAGTGCTCCCAGCATAAGCTCTTTGAGGGCACAATATCCTCAATAAGACTGAGTACTGCAAAGACAGGCCTTGCTTCTATGTCTGCATGTACCATTGCTCCACAGCAAACCTCTTCTCAACCACCTTTCCAAGTGTTAACCAATTTTCTGAGGTCCACTGCAAAGCCTCCTGAAGCAAGCTGAACTAATGCTGAATTCTTGCACTAATATCTTGCAGTTTTAAGCCATCTGTGCAATGCCACGCACAGAGTCATGCCACAAAGTCTAAGACTGGAGAAAATGAAATCTAGTTTCCTGTCAGTCAGACCTTCATCCTGTGACCCAATGATTTATGACTTTCTGCAGGGCAAGACTTGAGTCTTTCAATTATTATTTTTTTCTCCCCTTCCTTTGCTCATATAATGGAGGGCAATAGTACTGAGCCTACAATGATAAGATTTAAAAGCATCTGTTGAACTGGATGACCCTCTGTGCTATCAATTTCATGTTTATGTCACAGAGATGTACCTCTGTCACTGTGCCACTCCATCTAATGCTACAGAACCTGTCAATGCAGGAGGCTGTTCGTCTGGCATCGTTTCTGTCTCTGGAGCCCTTCTGTAAATCAACAGAACCTTAACTTGGAAGCTTTTCTTGCAACTGACCATGAATGGAGCTTTGGCCCTTCACAGAGACAACCAGCTGGTTGGCTCTATAACTTGGGATTGCCTGTGGGACCTTAACACCTATCCACAGTCAATCATGTCACTTCTTTGCTGGCCTCTTGGGGGTCTCACCTGCAGACACTGGAGTCTCAGCTTGCAACAAAGCCCAGAGCCTCATTTTGGGAATGGTGTCTGACTTGTGAATTGTTCTTTGCTGAAATGGACCCTGCTACATTTCATTTTGTCTTACAATTTTCTTTTTACCAGCCTGTAACTGATCTAACAGTCATGCTGGCATTGATTGATAGAGGGAAGCTCTCTTACTGATGCGCCATTGTGTGTGCAGTGTTGTGGCTGACACAGGAAAATAATGAATGTGAGAATATTACTAAGCAAGAGAGGTATAAAATGTGTGTAGTTGAAGGGTTCACATGTAGCTGTGTTATAGAAGCAGTATTTCTTGCCACTTACTGCACTGTTTTCATATAATGCTCTTTAAAAGTTCAAAAAAAAAAAGACAAATCAGGTTAATTAGTGTGATACAATGGAAGATGATATTTAAAAATCTAAGACAAAACAAGCTTTCTCTTAATAGCTAAGCTGAACATTAAAATCATTTCATTAGCAATATCAAACAGCATGCTCTAGCTGAGAAACAATTTATTATTCAAAGCACCAATTAAGCTAAATGTGATATATAAAAGTTGTGCTTGGGAAAAAAATCAGTTTCATATAATTAACTTCCGACTAACACTGCAATTATTAAAGAAAACATGCAGATGTTACCAAATTTTGCCATGTCATTACGTGGGAGTTGAAATATGTGTTATACTTCTGTTTCGGAAAATGAGTTTCTGGTGTTAAAAATGATTTTGATGGGAAGTAAGTTTGAGTACACTTCAAAGAGGGAATTGGGTTTATATTTAAAGACTCACACACAGCCTTCAGGAAATGGAACCATTCTACTTCTAACCTCTAAGGGCTAACATTCAGTTTAAAAGTTTAGAAGCTAACTCCCATGGCTTTTGAAAAATTAATATACCAAATAAAAGCAATTTCAAACTATTTTTCCAATCTGGCTGGACCAGACTGACAAACAAGAATTCCTATCAGTCCTTGGATTCTAAAGATGTCAACTCGGGGCCCTTGGGTTCCCATAGGCTGAGAGGAGAGCAATGCGAAAGGGCAACTGGGCTCCATGCTGAAGCAAAGGCTTTTGGTATGATTGGCAGCTCAGCCCTCCTAGCACCGCTAACATTTATTTTGAATGAGACAGTTGTATACATAAGCAAGAAAATACTTAGTTTCCATTTCTCAAATGTTTTTAATGTACTCACATATTTTTTTCCAAATCCTACCCAATGAAGAGAACTCACGATCAGGGTAGCAAACTATCTAACACATGATTCACAATGCCATGCCAGAGCAGGGTTTCTCCTTTTGTTTTCATCTTGGTAATGGGGTGGGAAGGAAGGAGGTTGGCGTGAAGAATCAAATCAAATGACATCAACAGCACTGAGGAGTATCGTGAATTCCAGCATTCAGTGGTTCCAATGGCAAACAGAAGGTACGATTTCTCCACTAGTTTATTCTTTCTTTGTTTACAATAAGCACAGTTATGATAACTGCATGGAAAAAGCAATGAGAATGGCACTATGTTATCTGAGAGAGCAAGGAGAGAGAGAGAGAGAGAGAGAGAGAGAAAGTCCCGTCTCACAACTCAGATAAAGGCAACAGGAATGTCGGTCAACAGGGGCGAGCAGGAATGGACTCTGGGATGCACCTGGAGACACCCTTGTCCCACACCAGCCACACAGCCTGGCCTCCATGTCCTTAATCCTCGGCCATGGCCCCTGGAGTTACCCCTGGGCCTTACTTTTACTTTGTGTGCTATGACTAACACAGTCCCAGACAAAAACCGTTGGAAATACTTTTATCCTACTGCAGAAAGTAACTTATTATTTTTTCAAGGCATAATGGTCCACATTTCAAACTCACCTGTTGGTTAACACTGACATGCCTGTGATCAGGAAAGGAGTCTGGAAACCCTTCTGATGCTCTCAGTGGATCTCATTTCAAAGGTGGTAG